CTCAAAAAAGATCTATTGGAATTGGAAAAGGTTCAGAAAAAGGCAACAAAAATGATTAGGGGTATGGAACAGCTGCCATGTGAGGAGAGATTAATAAGACTGGGACTTTTCAGCTTGGAAAAAGAGACGACTAAGGGGGGATATGATCGAGATCTATAAAATCATGACTGGGGTGGAGAAAGTAAATTAGGAAGTGTTATTTACTCCTTCTCATAACACAAGAACTAGGAGTCACCACATGAAATTAATAGGTGGCAGGCTTAAAACAAACAAAAGGAAGTATCTTTTCACACAACGCATAGTCAACCTGTGGAACTCTTTGTCAGAGGATGTTGTGAAGGCCAAGACTATAACAGCGTTAAAAAAGAACTACATAAATTCATGGAGGATAGCTCCATCAATGGCTATTAGCCAGGATGAACTGGGATGGTGTCCCTAGCCTCTCTGTCTGACAGAAGCTAGGAATGAGTGACAGGGGATGGATCATTTGTTGATTACCTGTTCTGTTCATTTCCTCTGGGGCACCTGGCATTGGTCACTGTCGGAAGACAAGATACTGGGCTAGATGGATCTTTGGTGTGACCCAGTATAGCCATTCTTATATTTTTATCCATCCAACTGCCATTAAAGAAGAGAGAACTCCTGGCCTGTTCCTCCCCGCTTTTCTAAAATTACACTCCACATTTTTTTCCAATGCCTTGGATGACATACATTTGATGCTCTTTGGGGCAAGGAGCATGTCCTTTTTTGGTGACTGGAAAACACCCAGTACATTTTTAACACAGAGTGCACCTTAATATTTGTACAGCACTTTGAAGATCTATGTTTTAAACACCCTGAGGTTTTGTCTGCACTAAACTTTTTGGGGGAAATCTCCCACCAGTGGTAGCAACAGCAAGCATAGGTGAAAACAGGACACAGGTTTCTTTACCACTGTTGTCCAGGCCTGTTCTAAGCAAGATGAGCTGGCCTGGCATAGAGCGCACCCTCTGTTTTTCCCTAATCTATCCTAATGCAGCAATGGTGGGAAACTTCCCAAAATAGTCTAGCATGGGCACAACCTACGAGGTAGATAATCTTATCCCCTTATCCAGATAAGAATTAGGATCTTGCCTATACCAGAAAAATGACCTAGTTTTTTTTTTTTTAAATCAGTTTAGTTAAACTAGTGCAAATCCATAATGCAGATCACATAAACCAGGTTCAATCCCACCTTATATTAATTAAACTACTGATTTAAGATAAATTGATACAAACAAGGGTCAAATTGGATTACGTGTCTCTACTTTAGAGTTTAGCACTGGTTTAAGTAGCTCAGTGTAAAAATTAATTTAGTTTAAACCGATGCACTTTTCTAGTATACAGAAGGCTGAAAACACAGCAGTTAAATGCTTTTCCCGTTGTCACAGAGGGAGTTAGTAGCAGAGGTGGGATTAGGTGGGAATTCTTGTTTTCTTCTAGTTTGGACACAATCAGTTTAATGTATTTGTTCCTTTTTTCCCTCTCCCCTCCCCCCCGTTCATTCCACTCCCTTTTTGTTTGCCCCTCTTCCCTTTTGGGACAATGTTGAATTCCAGTCTCTCGCTCCAGGATACCAGCTGAGAAGAGGTACCTCGCAGTGCTCTTTCAGATGACTATACAATGACATCTAGTGCTTTTCTCCTCACAAACTTCTGAGTTCGTGCCAAGCTATTCTTTCAGCACAATACTCAGACTCAGTCTTGAACTTCCACTAGACCACAAAAGGCCCATCCTGCTGTAAAGAAGAATCATTCCTTTATTGCTAGCTGTTCCTTAGCTACAATGATAGGTGCAAGATGGTGCTTCTGTATTGATGCTAGTCGGATGAAACTGAGAATTCTATCACTATAGGCATCACTGTTCTGTGATTGGTTCACAACAAGGACATACATTGATCATAGAACAGTGATGCCTATGCTGGTAGAATTTTCAGTTTCATCCTAGGCAGTCTTATTTAAATGCTTTTGAGATGTATGATGGCCACTAGAAAGTGTACCTGTGTCTCTCTTCCTCCATAATATAGTATACCATTTTCTTGGAGAGAAAATGATCTTTATTTGTCTCTGTTGCTGATAGAGCCTCAATTCTATCAACATAAGGGGTTTTTTTTGTTTGTTTTTTCTGCACCCCATTCCTGCAGTATCTGAGCACTTTGCTATTGTCACTCTAATTGACACAAAGTCTCTGAACTCATAGAGTGGCTGCTCTCCCTTTTGGTGTTCTTGAAGTCTGCTTGGAGTGGGGTTCTATTTTTTTTTTTTTTAATGGGGGAAGAATGGGGAAGGAGAGAGAAAAGTAGGTGAGAATGGTTGTTGAGAATGTGGTTTTGGTCATGGTGGAAAAATGTGATCAAAGAGAGAGGTAACTGCAGTTACCTCAAGATGGTCAGACTCTAAAGTCACCTAGTCTCCTAATTTTTACTCCACAGCTGGATACCTTCGGTAAAGGCCCTGTTTACACTAAGGAATTTTACTTTATTGAGTTGGGTTTGGTATGTTAAAGGATCAAGCTGCACTAGTGTAAGCACTGCTTTACACCAATGCACCATGTTTATGGTGCAAGCCTGTAATGGTATAACTGCATCAATATCACTAGACTGGTGCAAATTTATTTAATATAGACAGGGCTTATGGGCTAGTTTACATGGGAATGAATTGGACAAATGAACTGTAGCTCTACAGTTTCTCTTTGAAGTCTGTTTTTGAATTTTTGTTGTTGAAGGATGGCTACTTTTAAATGTTACTGAGTGTCCAGGGAGATTGAAGTGTTCTCCTACTGGCTTTTGTATGTTACCATTCCTGATGTCTGATTTGTGTTCATTTATTCTTTTGTGTAGAGACTGTCCGGTTTGGCCAATGTACATGGCAGAGGGGCATTGCTGGCACATGATGGCATAGATCACATTAGTAGATGTGCAGGTGAATGAGCCCCTGTTGGTATGGATCATGTGATTCAATCTTCTGATGGTGTCGCTAGAGTAGATATGGGAATAGAATAGGCAACGGAGTTTGTTACAGGGATTGGCTCTTGAGTTAGTGTTTCTGTAGTGTGGTGTGTAGTTGCTGATGAGTATTTGCTTCAGGTTGGGGGGCTGTCTGTAAGCGAGGATTGGCCTGCCTCCCAAGGCCTGTGAGAGTAGGGGATCATTTTCCAGGATAGGTTGTAGATCGTTGATGATGTGCTGGAGAGGTTTTAGCTGGGGGCTGTACGTGATGGCCAGTGCTGGTGTTATTTTCCTTGTTGGGTCTGTCCTGTAGTAGGTGACTTCTGGGTACCTGTCTCGCTCTGTCAATCTGTTTCCTCACTTCCCCGGGTAGGTATTGTATTTTTAAGAATGCTTCAAATAGAAACTGCAGAGCTACAATTCATTTGCAAATTTAATACCATTAATTTGGGCTTGAATAGGGACTGGGAGTGGCTGGCTCACTACAAAAGCAATTTTCCCTCTCTTGGTATTCACACCTCCTCATCAATTATTGGGAGTGGAACACATCCACCCTGACTGAACTGGCCTTGTTAACACTGGTTCTCCACTTGTAAGATAACTCCTGTCTCTTCATGTTTCAGTATATTTATGCCTGCACCTGTAATTTTCGCTCCATGCATCTGAAGAAGTGGGGTTTTTTTACCCACGAAAGTTTATGACCAAATAAATCTGTTAGTCTTTAAGGTGCCACTGGACTCCTCATTGTTTTTATCTATTCCAGAATAGCTCTCTGTGTGTGGACATTCTTACACTGGAATAAGTGTGTCCACATGGGGAGCTAATCCGGTCAATTTCCCATGTAGACAAGTTCTATTTACCTTGTCTCCAACTCTCACATGTATCTCCCCTCAGTTTTATGATCTGCATTGCCCCAGAGAAGTGCTGTTGTCTTGATGGTTCATAAATAGAGATGTTGAGTCAAACTTTTGGAAGTGCATAAATCCCATTTTCAAGAGTGAGATTGATATTTAGATTCCTAAAGCTAGATTTCAAAAGTGATTTAGGCACTTTTGATAGTGTTACCTGTGTACTCTAATAATGCAGCTGGAATCTGATCCATTCCTGGCTCTAAAGATTATGATCAAAGCCTTGAACAGGCAAGGGTGGTGCAGTAGGAGGGAGGTACTGGAGTGCAGGCTGGATGTGCTCCTGGCAGCATAAACTATACAAGTACTAGGCAGCTGCATTTTTGCACCAGCTGGAGCTTTTGCAACCTTGGCAAATCTGCAAGCCTGCTACCACCACCTGGACCATTTGGCACTGAAACACAAAGTGTTTTAAAATGTAGATGGGAGATGTTGTTTACTTTTCCTCCTGGCATAAGGTAGTATTAAGGGTTTTCTAACTGTGTGCACAGTCACAGATTTAGGTACTTTATTGTAGTGTACACAAGGAGTATGTTAATATCTAAATAGTTGATACTGCCATTAACTAACATTTAAAGTTTGTATTGTTATATCTGAAAAATACTTAACCCTTCCCCCACCTCCACTGAAAACAAATACTCAAGAGTAAACAGAGAGGTTGGGATATTCAGGTGTGACTGTCCCATTCTGTGCCTAGGGTGACCAGATGTCCCGATTTTATAGGGACAGTCCCGATTTATGGGCCTTTTTCTTATATAGGCTCCTATTACCAGCTCGGCTGGATTTTTCACATTTGCTGTCTGGTCACCCGATCTGTACCACCCCTTCCAGTGTGACTTGTCATTCTTTTTAACAACCTGTTGATCACCTCTAACTTCTTCCCTTGTTGCTAGAGTTTAAGTCCACTGCCAAGTCTCTCATTTACAGGGGGAGGAGGGGGAAAGTCCGTCACCCAGGATGGATTTTAAGGGAAGCCAGTCTAGGCTTAGTCTCCTGCAGGGGGTGTGTGTGTGTCGGAGGCAGGGTGAAGCAGAGATTCTCCTGCCCTCCGCCTGCCTTGCGGGGCGCGGCATTGGGGCCGGTCCCTGCCGCCCCGCCCCCCCAGCCCAGGCTCCCCGGCCCGCCGCGCTGCCCCTTGCCCTGCTCTCGGCTGGGGGCGGCTTGGGTGAGGCGAGGGCCGCGCTTCCTCCTCCCGGACAAAGGTGCCAGGTGTCGCCCCGCCCCTCATTGTGCGGTGGGCGCCGTTGCCAGGCCGCCCCGCCCCGGCCAGCGGGCAGCTGCTGCACTGTCTGGGAGCCCGCAGCAGCCGCCGCCTCCTGCGGCCCCGCTCTCCGCCCTCGCCCGCAGGACAGCCCTCGCCCAGGCGGCTCCAGGATGGAGGGCGATCGGCTGGAGCCCGCTGTGAGTGCGGGGCGTCTGGCGGCCCTGGCTGCCGGCTCGGGGTGGGGCTCGGGGCCGGGGCGGACGGTGGGTGCCCGGGCGCGGTGAGGGCGGGAGATTCCCGCAGCCCGCGGGGCTCGTGGACGCCCCAAACTTTCTGCCTTTAACACCGCTCAGCCCCCCCCGTGTGCCTGGAACTGCAGCGGCTGCCCCGCCGCACCCAGCCCGAGAGCTGCAGGCGGCGGCGCTGCTCCCCGGAAACCTGGGCGCGTGGATTGCGGGCTTTCTGCACACTCATCCTGCTGCAGTTCTCCGCCGGGACTCTGCCCCCGGGAGGAGCTGTCAGGGCCGCCGGGCCTCGCTCCCGTCTGACAGCCCTGCCCGGAGAGCGCCCTCCAGAAATCCCCCGTGGGGGTGTGGCAGGGGAAGCCTTTGTTTTGGGGGAGCGAAGAAAGGTGGCCCATTACTCACTGATTCTTTAGCAGCCAAGCTCTCTCCTTTCCCCCACCCCACCCAGTTCACAAAGCGCTCTTCCTAGGGCGTTGCAGAGCGTTTCTCCTAATTCAGTCAACCAGGCTATAATTTACTTTGACTGGACGGTAATTGGGACAGGAATCTTCTCGCTCCCCCGCCGCCGCCTTAGAAACAATGTGCTTTCGTGTGTTCTTCGTGATTGTCAGGGACTTGGAAGAAGAGTAAACCCCAGCTATTGAATGCACGCTAGAGAAAAGCAAGCTTAAGTAGATGTGAGAGGAACAGTTTATCCAGAGCTACCTATTGAGAACTTGGATCTTTCTCAGGGAAGAAGTTTTTGTAACCAAATATACTGAAATGAACTGAATAATGCAATTGATTAACAATTATTTATAGTAAAGTGATACTTTCAGGTAGTTAAAGCATAAATACATGGCTTTTACTTTTTTTAAAAAAAAAAGCCCTATGCAAAACCTCATGTTTTCAGGATTGTTAAATTTTTCATTTTTTAAAAAATGTCATTTACAGCTCTTATGCAGATTATTGTGTAAAGCAGGAGAAGCAGAACTAAAAAGAGTTGAAATTGACTCTAGACAGTTTCACTTTTGCTTACTATATTTACTCTTTGCACTCCCTTTGGATAATAAACACAGTACATGTGGTGAAAGAAATTAGTTTCAAGCCTTTAAATTTTAATTTGTGGTGTTAGCAATGTAGATGGGGAATCTGGTATTACAGACTTTTTGGCCCTTTTAGAAGATGAACTTCAAAGCCAACAGACGGGAACTTCATGATTAATTTAAAAAAACCAACTCTGCTTTGTTTTTACAGTAGACTTCTCATTTTTACTGGAGGACCTGAGATGCAAGCCTTAGCTTTGTTGTGCTTATATTTTTGAAGCCACGTTCTTTTTCTGATGTAAGATGTAAAGGTAGTTTTGAATGTTTGTATATAATGTGAGCCTTACTGGCTCAGCTTCTGATCTTGTCTTAATTTTGTTTTCCTCCTCACCTCTCTCTTTTCAAGGTTACCATTAAGAATATTGAACGAGAGCTCATCTGCCCATCATGCAAGGAGTTATTTACCCATCCACTGATCCTCCCTTGTCAGCACAGTATCTGTCACAAATGTGTAAAAGAAATTCTCTTCTTCACACTTGAAGACTCTTTCACTGATCTAGGCTCTGAATCCTCCAATCAAAGTAGCCCTCGTATTCGAATCCATTCTCCTAGTTTGGATAGAATCGACAGGCTTAATAGATCAGGTATGTGCCAGAATATTGTGTGTGCTCTGGGAATTTCATGTAGAAGACTGATTTAATATGAATGGTCTTTGCCTGAGTAAAGGTTTTCATCTTGATACTTTTAATGTTGAATGTTGTCACGTGAATAACTTCAGAATGGTTTAGTTTTTGGTCTTTGTTTACAGCACGCACCAAAAAATACTGGACATGGGAATGTCTTATTGTAAAGTTGTTACTCTAGTGAACATATATAAAATTGTTTTTTAAAAACAGTATCCTGTAAATTGGTTCATAGCTATTATTTTTCTGATGCTAAGTTACCCTAGTCACTATGGCTGTTTAATGTGACATAATCTCAGGCATCTTTAGAAAACGCCATTTTTTTTTGTTTGGGTTGGTCTCCAGGCTTTATGCTGCTCGCAGTCTGGTGGCTTAGGTTTCGTTTGGAGTCTTTGGTGCAGCCTTTCTAAACTATATATCTTCTTCAAAAATAATAATAAAAGGAAGTTCTTCTTCACCTAGAGCACAGTCAACCTGTGGAACTCCTTGCCTGAGGAGGTTGTGAAGGCTAGGACTATAACAGGGTTTAAAAGAGAACTGGATAAATTCATGGAGGTTTAGTCCATTAATGGCTATTAGCCAGGATGGGTAAGGAATGTTTGTCAGAGGGTGGATGGAGATGGATGGCAGGAGAGAGATCACTTGATCATTACCTGTTAGGTTCACTCCCTCTGGGGCACCTAGCATTGGCCACTTTCAGTAGATAGGATACTGGGCTGGATGGACCTTTGGTCTGACCCGGTATGGCCATTCTTATGTATGTTTGCTTCATTCATTTCACTAAGGTATATTAGTAGGTTACTTTCCATATGTGATATCAGAACTCTTCAAGCAGACAACTTTGCAAGAAGATTGAACCAGAGTTCTCTGTGTAAAGTATCAAGGAATGCTTAATTTCGGGTTTCTCTAACTGTTGTTTCATGACTGACTTTATCTTGAAGATACTTACCTTAACCTTATTATTCAATTAATTAAATATTGATAGATATTAAGTGAAAGAAATACCTTATTAAATGTAAATTTAAATAAGTGTAAAGCTACTCTATGTAACACTTAACAAAAAAGGCTCAAGGCTTGGCTACACTTCAGCTATTCTGGAATAGCTATCGCTTTGGAATAACTCTGTGTGTGGACACTCTTATTTTGGAATCAGAGTGTGTTTTCTTGAGTTAGCTTAATCCCCTTCCAAAGTGGATTCCCTTTAAATTCAAGCCCTACCTTATTATTGAATAACTTTCATGTGTAGATAAATCCTGAAACTTGCATCTCAGGTTTTAGCAATGTTAATTTCTTGTCTTTCATTTCTCAAGAGCAGAAACTTACATCACCATCATCTTTTAAAGAACACTTAAATTGGGACTATGGCTAGTTATACCTCTTTGTGTCCTCTTTCCTGCCCCACCCCCAAAAAGGGTGGAGTTTGAGCAATATGATGCACACCTGGATTCGCTAATTAAAAAAATCCTAGTCTGAGATTACCCTCTAATATTTTATGTTTTGGCTTGCTGTCGCCCGGGAAGTGTCTAAGATATTTAGTCTCAGAGATGTTCCTTGGTGCTTGTTTTGCAGGGACATGTGAATTATAGTACCTCATTGTGTTCACTGTAGATTTGTTGAAAATTGCCTTCAGTGAGACATTGCTAGCCACTGAAGTGCAGTATAATCCTGTTTTGTTATAGCAATACAGTAAATTACCATCTTCACATTTTGTGTACTATTTCATCCACACCAAACACAAACAAAAACAAACTTGTTAAAAGAACACTTGGGTTGCAAAATCAAGCATGTGGAAGATAAGAAATGGCAGAATGCAGTGTTGACCATACAACCTTCATTGGGCCCCCTTGTGCATATGTACTATGATACTGTCTGTAATTACAATACCGCATACTATTTTATCCATAAGATGCCTGCCTTGTTCAATGTGCAGGATGAACAGTACTCATTGAATGGGTAGTTTATTCAGTATATAACCCCATGCACTATTTGCCACATACCATCCAAACTCTGCACTGAACACAGAATTATTAATTTCTTCTGGAACATTTTCTATGGTACTCTCATCATAGTACCTTAGTTCTTTAAAAACATTTTAGTTATTTACAAATATTAATTAATCTTTACAACACTTCTGAAGTGAGATGGTATTTTCATTCCCATTTTACATATGAAAGACTGGAAATACAGAGATTGTAGTTTTGTAAAAAGTGTAAAAAAGTGACAAGTAATTTAGGGTGCCCAATATGAGATGCCTAGAACTGATTTTTCAGAGTACTTGGTACAAAATGCTAATTTATATGCAAAACTCCCATTGACTTTGTAATGCTCCGAACGGTGGTCCAAGAGCATGAGAACCAAGCTCAGGGCAGACTTGAAAAAACAGGACACAAACCCTAAATTGGTTGTGAGTTCTAAATTTAGATTTCCCCAACCAACTGTACCATGTGCAAACTCTTCAGGCACATTAACAGCCTTAAACAGATTCACAGAGAGTCCCCCGGATACTGCAGTCTGTTTTGTCACCCTGGTGAGTGAGTGTATTTCCATGATAGATGGTCTTTAAGACCAAGAATCACAGCAACATTAATTCCTGGTCCCAGGTTAATTGAGCCAAGGACAACACTTGTAGCCAGTCCTATAATAACCTATATGAAGATTTATTAACTTACCAATAAATTTCATCATGCATATACAAAGCAACGAAAAAACATTTTCATGAGCAATAATAGAAATTGAAAGATAAGCAAAGTAAGAAAAATACTGCCTGAGAACTTACTAGAGTTTGACATAAGGCTATTTGTATATTTTGACATATGATGTTGATGATGTTGTGAGTTAAAGCTTTAAATTTTAACTTTTTTAAATCTCAGCATCTACTGTCACTAAATAATTGTCTGACCCTCCCCCATAATTTCCTGCAACTGTGAAAATTTAAATAAATAAAAATAAGAAAATGCTCAAAAATAACATAAACATAAGAACGGCCATACTGGGTCAGACCAAAGGTCTGTCCAGCCCAGTATCCTGTCTACTGAAAGTGGCCAATGCCAGGTGCCCCAGACGGAGTGAACTGAACAGGTAATGATCAAGTGATCTCTCTCTTGCCATCCATCTCCATCCACCCTCTGACAAACAGAGGCTAGGGACACCATTCCTTACCCATCCTGGCTAATAGCCATTAATGGACTTAACCTCCATGAATTTATCCAGTTCTCTTTTAAACCCTGTTATAGTCCTAGCCTTCACAACCTCCTCAGGCAAGGAGTTCCACAGGTTGACTGTGCGCTGAGTGAAGAAGAACTTCCTTTTATTTGTTTTAAACCTGCTGTCCATTAATTTCATTTGGTGGCCCCTAGTTCTTATATTATGGGAACAAGTAAATAACTTTTCCTTATTCACTTTCTCCACACCACTCATGATTTTATATACCTCTCTCATATTCCCCCTTCGTCTCCTCTTTTCCAAGCTGAAAATTCCTAGCCTCTTTAATTTCTCCTCTCACGGGACCCGTTCCAAACCCCTAATCATTTTAGTTGCCCTTCTCTGAATCTTTTCTAAGGCCAGCATATCTTTTTTGAGATGAGGAGACCACATCTGTATGCAGTATTCAAGATGTGGGCGTACCATGGATTTATATAAGGGCAATAAGATATTCTCCATCTTATTCTCTATCCCTCTTTTAATGATTCCTAACATCCTGTTTGCTTTTTGACTGCCGCTGCACGCTGTGTGGACGTCTTCAGAGAATTATCCACGATGACTCGGAGATCTCTTTCCTGATTAGTTATAGCTAAATTAGCCCCCATCACATTGTATCTATAGTTGGGGTTATTTTTTTTCCAGTGTGCATTACTTTACATTTATTCACCTTAAATTTCATTTGCCATTTTGTTGCCCAATCACTTAGTTTTATGAGATCTTTTTGAAGTTCTTCAGAATCTGCTTTGGTCTTAACTATCTTGAGCAGTTTAATATCATCTGCAAACTTTGCCACCTCACTGTTTACCCCGTTCTCCAGATCATTTAGGAATAGGTTGAATAGGATTGGTCCTAGGACTGACCCTTGGGGAACACCACTAGTTACCCTTCTCCATTCTATAAAAAAACAAATTCTGCCAAGCCTATATATATGGCTGTGACAGGGTCAGGCTAGATGGCTATAGGAGAGTAATAGAAGTCAGATATATTAGCCCCAGGCTAAGTAGGTCCCTTTTCCCTGGGTAAAGTAACAGGGAAGGTTCCAGAACAATCAGGAACCTTCTGGAGACAATTAAGATAAGCTGATTAGAACACCTTCAGCCAATCCAGAAGCTGCTAGAATCAATTAAGGCAGGCTAATCCGGGCAGCTGGGTTTTAAAAAGGAGCTCACTTCAGTTTGTGGTTTGCGTGTGAGGAGCTGGGAGCAAGAGGCACTAGTAGCTGAGAGTGAGAACGTGGACTGTTGGAGGGCTGAAGTGTACAAGCATTATCAGACACCAGGAGGAAGGTCCTATGGTGGGGATAAAGAAGGTGTTGGGAGGAGGCCATGGGGAAGTAGTCCAGGGAGTTGTAGCTGTCGCACAGCTGTTCCAGGAGGCACTCTAGACAGCTGCATTCCACAGGGCCCTGGGCTGGAACCCGGAGTAGAGGGCGGGCCCAGGTTCCCCCCAAATCCTCCCAACTGCTGGTCAGACACAGAGGGAGTCGACCTGGACTGTGAATTCAGAAAAACAGCCAAGCTGAGGGCTGCCGTGAAGCTCCAAGACGAGCAAATCCGCCAATAAGCGCAAGACCCACCAAGGCAGAGCAGGAACTTTGTCACAATGGCATAGTCATGATTAATAGATAATTAAATTCATATGAAGTAGTAAAAACTAGTTGCTGTCTTGACCTTCTAACTCTTTAAGTACCAAACGCAAATTGATCTGTTATGGAGCTACTATCTGCACAACTTGCTTTTTAGAAATGCTGTTTGCTGTAA